GCTGCTTATGCATGTGAAATGTGGTATGATGGTTGATGCACGTAAGCTGTTTGATGAAATGCCGGAGAAGAATTTGGTTTCATGGAACACCATTATTGCCGGCTTAGTGGAATCAGGGAATTATGAAGAAGCATTTCGGTTGTTTCTAATTATGTGGGAGGAGTATTCTGATGGTGGATCTCGCAGGTTTGCAACGATGATTCGGGCATCTGCTGGACTAGGGTTCATAGCTGTGGGAAGACAGTTGCACTCGTGTGCAATGAAGATGGGTGTAGGTGATGATATTTTTGTGTCTTGTGGATTGATTGATATGTATAGCAAGTGTGGAAGCATTGAAGATGCTCAATGTGTTTTTGATCTGATGCCGGAGAAGACTACAGTAGGATGGAATTCTATTATAGCAGGCTATGCTCTCCATGGTTACAGTGAGGAAGCTCTGAGTATGTATCAAGAGATGCGTGACTCTGGTGTTAATATGGACCATTTCACGTTTTCAATCATTATAAGAATTTGCACGAGATTAGCTTCACTTGAACATGCTAAGCAAGCTCATGCAGCTCTGATTCGTCATGGTTTTGGGTCAGATATAGTTGCAAACACGGCACTAATGGATTTCTACAGTAAATGGGGAAGAGTAGAAGATGCTCGGCGTATTTTTGACAAGATGCCCCGCAAGAACATCATATCTTGGAATGCATTAATTGCTGGATATGCTAATCACGGACAGGGAACTGATGCTGTTGAAATGTTTGAGCAAATGCTTCGTGAGAAAATGACTCCAAACCATGTAACTTTTCTTGCTGTTTTATCAGCTTGTAGCTCTTCAGGATTATCTGAACTAGGCTGGGAAATTTTTCAGTCAATGAATAGAGACCATAAAATCAAGCCCCGGGCGATGCATTATGCATGTATGATTGAATTATTAGGTAGAGAAGGGCTTTTGGATGAAGCTTTTGCAGTGATCCGGAGTTCACCTTTCAAGCCTACCACAAATATGTGGGCAGCATTGCTAACTGCTTGTCGGGTCCACGGGAACTTAGAACTTGGGAAATTCGCTGCTGAAAAGCTCTACGGAATGGAACCCGAAAAGCTTAGTAACTATGTTTTGCTTTTGAATATATACAACAGGTCTGGCAAGTTAAAAGAAGCGGCTGCTGTTATGCAGACTCTAAAGAGAAAAGGTTTGAGAATGCTTCCTGCTTGCAGTTGGATTGAAGTTAAGAAACAGCCGCATGTTTTTCTTTCTGGAGATAAGTCTCACGTCCAAACAGTCGAGATTTACAAGAAAGTAGACGACTTAATACTTGAAATTTCGGAGTATGGTTATGTTCCTGAGGCGAAAACCTTGCTTCCTGATGTAGATGAACAGGAAGAGCGTATATTGTTATACCACAGTGAGAAACTTGCAATAGCATTCGGGCTCATCAACACCTCTGGTTGGACACCTTTGCAAATTGTACAGGAGCCATCGCATTTGCA